GCTTATTAAAAAAAGATGGTCAACAGCACTAATCATCAGAGAAATTCAAATCAAAACCACAATGAGGGGCGTCTGAGTGGCTCAGTCGGTTGAGCATCTGACTCTTGATTTCAGCTCAAGTCATGATCCCAGGGTCCTGAGATCAAGCCCCATGTTGGGCTCCGTGCTAACCATGGAGCCTGCTTAAGATTCTCTGTTTCTCTCCCTCTGGCCCTCTCCTCTGCTTGTAGGCGTGTGCGCTCTCTCCTTCTGTTTCTCTTTAAAAAAAGAAAAAACAAACCACAATGAGATATCACCTCTGACCCACTAGGATGGTGACTTCCATAAAAAACAAACAAACAGAAAACACTACATACTGGTGACAATGTGGAGAAATCTGGAACCCTTCTACATTGTTGGTAGGATTGTAGAATGATGCGACCACTATGGGAAACAATATGGAAGTTCCTCAAAAAAAAGAAAAACAGAACTACCCCAAATTATTCAGCAATCCCACTCCTGGGTATATATCTACAAGAATGGAAAGGCCTGTCTTGAAGAGGTAACTGCATACTCATGTCTACAGCAGCAAAATGATGGAAGCAGCTCAAATGTCTATCAATGGATGAATGGAAAAACATATGTAGTCTTCACATGGAATAGAATGGAATATTACTCAGCCTTAAAAAGGAATAAAATCCTGTCACTACCTAAAACATGGTTAACTCTGAGACCATTATGTTAGATGAAATAAGCCAGTCACAAGAAGACAAATACTGTAAGCTTCCACTTATATGAAATATGTAAAGTAATCAAACTCATAGAAACAAAGCAGAATGGCATTTGCCAGGAACTGAGGGTGGGGGAGAATGGACTTCATTAATAAGTATGGAGTTTCAGTTCTGCAAAATGGAAATGCTCTGGACATTTGTGTCACAACAAGGTGAATGTACTTAACACTACTGAACTGTACACTTGAAAATAGTTAGAGAGCAAATTTTACATGAGTTTCTACGAGAATAAAAAATTTGGTAAATATCTGTGTATAGTTTCACAAATGTTAAGTGCAAAAAACAGTAATATCTAATTTATGTCAGGATGAAACAGACTTGAAGAAAAATACAAAATAACAGCATATAAAATTAAGATAACGTGAACTGTAATCTTTTTTTAAGAATATTTTTATGGTTTGGGAGAAGGATAAAAAAACTAATTAAATATGACTCTATTAAAAAGACTGGTAGAGGGGCACCTGAGGGGCTCAGTTAGTTAAGCGTCCAGCTTCAGCTCAGGTCATGGTCTCACAGTTTGTGGGTTCAAGACCCCCGTAAGACTCTGTGCTGACAGCTCAGAGCCTGGTGCCTGCTTCAAATTCTAAGTCTTCCTCTCTCTCTGCCCCTCCCCCGCTCATGCTCTGTCTTTCAAAAATGAATAAAAATTATAAAAAATATTTTTTAAAAAGACTAGTAGGAAAAGGGTAACAAATAATAAAATTCACTTCAAACCAACAGAGAGAAAATAAATGAAACTATAAATTCAATACATAAAAACGCAAAAAAGTAAAAGAAAAGAAAGAGAGTGGAACATACAGAATGCAAACACAAAATAATAATACATCCGTAATCACAATAACTGTAACTGCAATAAACACTCTAGCTAAACACAAAACTAGCCATCATGAATTAATTAAAAAATAAAACCAAACTAGTTGCTGTCTAAAAGGGACACACCTAAGACAAAAGATCATAGAATGACTGAATGTCTAAAGCAAGATGAATATATAGCAGGCAAAAATAGTAATCAAAAGAATGTGTATCCTTACTAATATCAGAAAAAATAGAGTATTGACCTAAATCATAGCTAGAGATAAACTTAGTATATAATAACAATTTCATTATCAAAAAGATGTGATATTCTAAACATAATGTTTAATAATAATATATAAAATATAAACATAAAATATAATAATATAAAACAAAAAGTATTTTTAAATAATAAATATTTATTTCAGAAAATAAAGAGAAATTAACTCCTCTGAAAAGTGAAAATATTAATGTAACTTTCTATTTGACAGATGGAGTAAAAAAGAATAGAGAATATATACACTTCACAATTAAACATATTAACGCATAGATAGAGAACTTTGCATCCAGTTCCTGCACAAAACACATTTGAAAGACATAATGAGTCTTCATGAGTATTGGTCACTTCCAAGTTCATACTGCCAGCCTCAAGATATTTCAGGGACTGACACCTTACATACTATAGTCTCTCACCAGAAGTGACTAAAGGAGAAATTAATAAGAAAAAGTTGATTGGAAAAACAACATATGTTTGCAAACAAGAAAATATGCATTACCAAAAAATATGTCGGTTGAGAAGAAACAATAAGAGACAAAGAAGATAATGAAAATTGAAACATAGCAAAAACACTGTGTCAGGCTAGTGAAATTCAGATAAAGTAGCTTTTATTTTTTTTATTTTTTTTTTATTTATTTCTAGGAGAGAAAGAGAGAGACAGCGTGAGCAGGGGAGGGTCAGAGAGAGAGGGAGTCACAGACTGAAACAGGCTCCAGGCTCTGAGCTGGCAGTCAGCACAGAGCCCGACGTGGGGCCTGAACCCACGAACCGTGAGATCATGACCTAAGCGAAAGTCGGACGCTTAACCGACTAAGCCACCCAAGCGCCCCAGATAAAGTAGCTTTTAGAAGGAAATTTATAGCCTTAAAGATTTGTATTGGGAAAGAAAAAAATTGGAATGAATGAGTTAAACTTCCAACTAAAGAAGTAAAAAAGAACAGTGAATAAACCCGAATTTTAAAGTAAAGAAAATAAAAAACAAGAATGAAAAGTGAGTTGATATTCTTCATTGACCACTTAATTCAATTTATTTGCTCATCATCACACATATTAAGAAAAAAAATTAAATTTGCTTAATCTTATTCCAAAACTTTTCATAATTCATAATTTTATTTTCAAAATCATGTACGGTTTTAAACTTATTCTCATTTGTCAGACTTTATAATTTGCTTTTCAGTGCCTTTTTAAGACTGATTTTCATAACATATTTCATATGCTTATTCAAAAATCTAAACAGAGATTGATCAACTCCTATAAGTATATTACAACACAGAGTTTTGGTTCTTAAATGAAAAACAACTATATAAAGAATTATATATGCATTCATGTATTCCAAATGAGTGCAACTTTTTATGTTTAAAACTCTTCTGTTACACAAACGTTTCATTCAGTTTTCATTTTGAGTTTTGCAACACCCTGGACAGCTCCATACTGATGATTCTCTTAACAACATTCAATGATCAGGAATATTGAGCTTTCTTTAACCTCAACTGAATTTTCACCAAAACTCTAAGTTTATTTGAGTCATTCCACATAAATCAGTCAGAAGCAAATGACAAAAACTATTTAATAAGTACCAAAAATAAAGATAAATATTGTTACAATCTTGGTCTGGGAAGACTTAAAGATTAGCATTCAAGACAGAATTCAGAAGTTAATGGATTCACTCATTTCCGTTTCTAATAATTTTAAAATGTATAATCAAACTAAAGATAATAAAGGAAACTTTCTTCCTCTTCAATCCTTACTATGCCATGACTTCCATCAAAAATGTTGAAAAAGAAGTGGTGTGATAGAAATAGTTTCAGAATTTTCCAAAAAATAATGATATTTGCAGTAATTTTTGTCAATTTTCTTTCTAAGATTAAGAAAATATCCTATTACTAGTTTGTTCAAGGTTTGTTGTTGTTAAATCAGTAATAGATATTTCTTCTTGACTTAACTGAGATACATATCTAATAGTGTTTGCATCTTTATACATAAATGCATATACATTTACCTTTGGTTTGGTATGGAGGATTTTACATCCATATTCAACTGAGAGTTTGGATTATAATTTTCCTTTCTTATATTGTCCTTGTCAGGACTGGTATCAAGTTTTTGCTGGCCATATAAATAGGAGAAAGGATTTTTCTTTTTATTCCCTGGAAGAGTTCATATAAGATTATACCTATTTGAATGTTGGCTACATCTCAGAATTACGTCATCTGAGACTGGATTTTCATTGCTGAAAAAAATTTAATAACTTAATTAAATAGCAATTCATTTTCTTTGTGGTTATGTGTGTTCAAGTTTTTTTCTCCTTGAGTAAGAAGTCAGTAATATTTTGTAAGAATTTTCCCATTTCATCTCCATATTTAAGTTATTGGCATAATGTTCAAAGTAATCTTTTATTCCCATTTAGATGTCTAAAGTATCTATGGTTATAACAACCTTTTTATTCTGATTATTAGATCATTGTACTTTCTCTGTTATTCTTTTCCTTTCTTGATCTGTTTTCCACCATGTTCCTATTTTGCTAAGTTTTTTCAATGTACCAGCTTTGTTCATACTTTGTATGTTATTTTCAGCTCATTAATTTTATCTTTTATTTATTACTTCTTCCATTATGTACCTTTTTATTTATTTTACTACTTTTTTCCTAGCCACTCAAAAGGGATGTCTAACTCATTATTTCAGGGCATTTTTTATTTGCTCATGTTAGCATTTCAGTTGTGAAATTCCTTCTAGATACTGCTCTAGTTGAATCTTACAGGCTTGCTATTCAGTATTTTTGTTACATTATAGTTGAAAATAATTTCTAATCTTCCCTGTAATGCTTCTTAGCTGAACTGGATATCTGATATATATTTCTAAACTTTGAAATGTGTGGGGTTTTTCTAGTTATCTAACTAATGCTTATTTTTAACTTAATTTCATTGTGCCTGAGAATATAATCTGTATTATTTCAACCCTTTTAGAGCACTTACTATTTCTTTTTAAATTAGTTTTTTCAAAAAGTTTCGGAATTTAAGCAATTTCCATTATAAAATTTCTGAGGTTTTTAGTCTCTTGTTTGAAGAGTCAAGTAACAATAAAAAATAATGCAAACTATATTTAAAAGAAAATGAATTTTTGTATTTATATATGACTAAATGAGAACTCTGGATGGTATAAATTACCTTCTCCCCTGGGGTCACTGAAACTCTCCAGATGCAGTGTGTATAAGAAGGATAGCCATTTGGAAATCCTGGAGAGGAAAGGTTGCCATTGGATTCTTGTAGGGTTTCTCCACATGCTAAAAGGCAAAAAAAAGATACATATATATATTTTTTTAAAGAGATAAGATCATTCTTTAATTTTTATGAAAGACATGGACACCATAAACAAAGCCCTGAGTCTTCTGGTGTTACACAAGAATGTATACTTGTGTACTATAAAAAACTTTTCATTTCTAAGTAAATTTCTTCCTATGGCTCTACGACCAGACTTTCAGCATACTTAATGGAATCATTAGGGATAACCATAAAACAAAGTGATGACAGCAACAGTCTGGCATTCATAAAGTTCTTCCTCATGGGGACCTTCCTCATTCATTCCCAAGGAGTCAGTAGATCACCCATACACAGATTCAAGCCAGTGGGTATCTGGTTGATGGTAGCTATGGGATCACATGAAACATTATTAATATTTTCAATGTAAAGTGGGGCAAAGTTTCATAGCAAATATCACATCAAAGTTGACAACAGAGAAATCTTAAATAGTAACTAGAATACAACCAATAAACATGGTATCAAAAATGTCAAACACAATGAAAACTTTTCTCAAACTGAAAAAAACTGAAAGGTTAAAAACATCAAGGAAGATTAAAATTTTCCAACAAGATATGGACATTCATTTCCTCTTTCATTTCTGTTGATCATAAGTAAAAATTGCTGGAAAAGCAATTAGGTTTTCTTCTTACTAAGACTCTCTAGTACCTTGGAAGTAATTATCAGTCAACTGAAAGCAAATTATCTGATGCACAGCCTCAAAATCTGTGTGATTGACATCTCCAAGGCCATTTCCACAAAGATGCAGAGTGTAATTAGCTCATTCGTTCAGGTTAGTGGTCAAAAGCATTCTATAATGGGCTTTCCTGTTATTTTTATAAGATGTAGCATGTGCCATATGGACCTACGCTGCTTAATTCAAGAATATTTCCTCTACTGCAGCCTGTCATCTTTATAACCTTCACTCAATAACTTAAAAAAAATAGCCCCTTCTTTCTGAAGGAGACTGATATCAGACTCAGATATTACCATATTATAGAGTCATAGCTACCAGCAGGTGAACTCTCATCTCAACAAATCCTCCATAAATAATAAATGGTTTTGCATATCTTAAGTTAAATGAAGAAAGAAAGATGATGACTTTGAAAACAAAACAGAGCTATAAAAAGTCTGATATGATACATATATTTATTTGAAAAAATAGATATTAAGTTTGCACAACAAAACACATTTCAAGTAGAAGTAAGAAGTGTTTATTCTGATGAGCAGGAAGATAAAAGCAACTCTAGAATAAAATGCTCAAGGTCAAAAATACTTACTTCAGCACTTTCCATGAATCATCTAAGGGCTCTTATTAAATGTAACATTCATTACAAGAACCCTTATAAAAATGAAAATTTATTAAGATTTTATTAATGTAAACAGTGTACTTCTGAGTAGGATCAGTTCAGACGCTAAATAATCATTTGGGAGTTGAATGTGTTTCAGTGGGAAAAAAAACTATAATTCACAGCAGTCTAAAAATAAATTCTTTAATGATTGAAAACTACCCGAAGCCACACAGAATGCTGATACTGGATTTACTAAAGTGGAAATAAATCAATGAAATATACTTCATTCATAGATGTACACAAATAATAGTGTCTGGTAAAGAGATAAAATGGAAAACTCTATAAAATGAAAATAAACAGAATACAACACTTAATTCAAAATATTAAGTAAATTTGGGGCACCTGGGTGGCTCAGTTAGTTGAGCATCCAGCTCTTGATTTGCAGCTCAGGTCATGATTTCACAGTTCATGAGACTGAGCCCCACATGGAGCTCTGTGCTGACAGCGCAGAGCCTGCAAGTCTCCTTCTCTCTGCACCTTCCCATGTGCACATACACACACACATACGCTCTTTCTCTCAAAATAAATAGACTTTAAAAAATATATTAAGTAAATCTCTTATATAGTAATTGCTCATAATGCCTATAATTGTTTGTACATTTACCTCAGTAAGTGTGGTTGTCCCGGGCTACCTGATCCCTGCTGAAAAAGATATTTCCCTTTCCCCCAGCCATATGTTGATTAATGCTCAGGTGTAAAAAGCAAAGTCGATTATCAAAAGAACTAAAGGATAATCAGCAAGAAAAAAGTGGTGTTACTAAGTTAAAAGGCATAGTATGTTCATTTACTCAACAAAGTCCATGGATGAGAAAACATACGTATTAGCTATGGCATTACCACTTATAAATTATGCCATACAATTAAGTCACAAAAACTTCAGCTTCAGTTTTCTCTAGTTAAGTGGTCATCTTATTAACAAATACTTAATATACTTTGCTTTCAGGGTCAAATATTATTATGCCCTGAATCCTCTTAACCCATAGAAACCTCTTCCACAGAGAGGAAGATTATGGTTTAAAGTGTTTGAATATGTCTTTGAACTAAATATGTGATATTTAGAAGGAAAAAAAGACATGAAGAAATAAAAATAAGCAAATTATTATTATCACTGTCCTAATATAAATTACTCTAAAACTAATTATAATTCAGAAGTTAAACTTCCATCTCTGTAGGCGATGACACAATCTTAAAGTATAAAACAGTAAACACTCTACATACACATAAAATTGTTAGAACTAATAAAATTCAGCAAAGTTGCAGAATACAAAATTAACACAAAAAAATCAGTTGCATCTCTATACACCAACAAGCACTCTCAAAATGAAATGAAGAAAATAATCCTATTTATAATAGCATAAAGAAAGAATAAAATACTTGGCAACAAATCAATGAGGCAAAAGACTTGTACACTGAAAACTACAAAACACTGCTGAAAGAAATTAAAAATGATACAAATCGGTGAAATAATAGACTGTGTTCATGATTAGAAGACTTAATATTGTTAAAATATCCATATCACCCAAAGCAATCCACAGATTCAACCACAATCTCTATCAAAATCTCATGGGCATTTCTTGCAAGATGAGAAAAAACTAAATCTTGAAATTCACAAAGAACCACAAACCCAAAATAGCCAAAACATTCTTAAGAAAATCTAAGCTAAAGTCTCTTACTTCCTGACTTTAAAACATATTACAAAGCTACTGTATTCAAAATAGTACAATACTGACATAGGATAGACATATAGACCAGTAGAAGAGAACAGACAGAAATAAACCAGTGTGTGTGTGTGTGTGTGTGTGTGTGTGTGTGTAGTCAAATGATCTTCAACAAGGTGACAAGACTACTCAGGTAAAGGACAGTCTCTTTAGCAAACGGTGTTGAAGAACCCAGATATACACATACAAAAGAATGAAATTGGACCCTTTTCTTACATCAAACACAAAAAAGAATATAAAATGAATTAAACACTTAAATGTAAGACCCAAAACTGCAAAACCTCTAGAAGAAAACAAGTGAAAAAGGTCTTTAACAGTAATCCCGGCAATGATTTCTTGGATATGACACCAAAACACTGGAAATAAAAGCAAAAATAGACAAGTGAGACTACGTCAAACTAGAAAAGGCTTCTGTGCAGCAAAGGAAACGATCAACAGAGGGAAAGACAACCTTCTGAATGGGAGAAAATATTTGCAAATCCCATATATCTCATGTGGATTTAGTATTCAAAATATGTAAGAAAACTCCTACAAGTCAATAGGAAAAAACAAAATAACCTAATTCAAAAATGGGCAAAATAAAAGTGCTCAACATCACTAATCATCAGGGAAATGCAAATCAGAACTATAATGAAGTAACCCTTTGCATCTGTTAGGATGGCCATTATTAACAAACAAACAAACAAACCAGAAAATAAGGAGTATTTGCATGGAAATGGAGAAATTGCGGCCTTTGTGCACTGTTGGTAGAAATATAAAATGGAGCCACTCTGGAAAACAGTGTGAAATTTCCTCAAAAATATATATATAATTCCCAAATGATCTAACAATCCCACCTCTGGGTATTTATTCAAAACAATTGAAAACAGGATCCCAAAAAGATATTTATATTCATTGCAACATTATTCACATTAGTCAAGAGGCAGAAACACCCTAAACATCCATCAGTAGATGAATGGATAAAGAAACTGTGGTGTATATATATTAAACAGAATATTACTGAGACTCAAAACAGAAAGAAATCTGTCACATGCTATAAAACAGATAAATTTGGAAGACATTATGCCAGTGTCACTTAAAGAGACATTACGGTTATGGAGAGATAAGTACTGCATGATTTTGTTTACATGCGATCTCTAAAGAGTCAAACTCATAGAAGTGGAAAGTAGAATTCTGGCTGCTAGGGGATGGAGAAGAGGGAAATAAAGAGTTGCTGTTCAGTGGGTATAGAGTTTCAATCATGCAGGATGAAAAAGTTCTAGCGATCAACTGTACAACAATGTACATAGAGTTCACAGTACTACACTGTGCCGTTACAAATTCGCTAATAAGATAGAGCTCATTTTAGGTGATTTTTTGCCAAAATAAAAGATAATTAATAATAAAAAAGCAGTTAAACATCTAAGACTTTATCATAAGATCAATCTCACTTGTGAATCAGGTAATTCACATATACCATCATTCTTCCAGAATAGAAAATTGTGTTTAAATTGTATAAATGCTATTTGAATTGTGTCTTATTGAACAACTATTACAAGCTCTTGTCATTGTAATTATATGGTTAAATTTGCAGCTGTCTACATTTCCATTTACAGATACTGTCCTTCTCAGATGTCTGTAATATTATCAAATACCAAAGATTGAGAACTTTCCTTTCTCCCTATTCTATAGATTCACAATTATAATTTTATTAAAGCTACAAAAATAATAGGCAGATATACACCATAATTTCTATTAGATAAATGTCCTCTCAAAGGAGCTTGACAAATTCTAGATTAGGGGAAGAAATAAAATTGTCGCGAATGAATTTAGTACCACCTAATTAACTGATAATTACATCCATGGCTCCCTTAAACTTTTAAATATAATAAATAAAATGTAGGTTTAAAATGACTTTAAGATAAGGATATGCTAAAA